GAGCCTTGGCTTGCTTTCCATTTTGCAGAAGTCCATTTCTAGCTATTAGAGTTGTCATGAAAATGCAGCCATGTATGCCAGAGGCAGAAGGCATTTCCAGGGAATTTGAAATTATCATCTTGAACTAAAAGTGTCCCAGGCATTCCAAGTAGAGCCAAGAATAACACTTTCAATATTGTTATGATGTAGAGTCTGATTCTTCTTTAAAATATGGAAGCAAGGGAAGTAAGTATGTCCAAAAATGTTTACCAATGTTCTCCAAGACAGGAGGAAGAGTCACAAAGGGCCAGCCAAGGATGGAGCAGAAGATGAATACATGGAGATATTTAAAATTTTGACAACAGGTTTGTGAGGCATAAAACTTGTTCGATTTCTTATAAAGGGCAGCTCAGCTTTCAGAAGTTTGTGAATTCCTCTATTAATTTTTGTCAAATCCACACCTACACTGAGGCAGGCCTTTAAATCCTAAATATGCCTTAGTATGTGCTGATCTTGTCTAAGATTTTGTGTTTTTCCCTAAAGCACGGAAAAAAGCAGGAGATACCATAGCAGTTTTTAATGTTTTTTATTTTCATCTACTAATGTTCAAATTACATTGTTTGAACTGGTGATTCCTCTTCTTATGCCAGTCATGTTGTCTACTGTAAAAATGTGAATATGCTGAAGTAAATAAAAATAGTATTGATGGCATATAACTCAGAACTGTTGGCAGTGTATCCACACATGCTTGAGGCTGTATACCTTGAGTAATTTACCTTCTGGTGAAACTTCTTGCTGTTGGGGATGGGTGGTTTCTATTAGTACATCTTTAAACCAGAAAGAATGAGGGATAGTGCGAAGACACTGCCTTCTGGAACAAGTTTATTAAAGCTTTTTCATGTTTAAATTTTGCCACCTCGTATGGACAACTTGACTAGGAGGCTTGGCTGAATGGTAATGCAGCTGTTCACTTTAAAGTGGTCCCATTTCTGATTCTTTGTCACAATTGCTAAAGAACAGTATTTCATGGAAAGCAACCCAGGAACCCCAAGCTGTGGACAGGCAGGTGGCCAGAGCCCATCCAGGCTTCCAGGGTCGTTCATGGCTGTGCTGGAAGAGCTGAGGAACTTGGGTGATCACGGGAGGGACTTGGGGGGGACGGGGGTTGGATCATGGCAGGTGACTGCAGATGTCTTTGGAGGGACTATGAATGCCATGAGAGGACCTGGCTGTGGCAGTGTGAGCCGTCACTGGGACAGGTTTTGGGGTAGGCTCCAGGATGAGGTACTTGGGGCCCTGAAGTCAGAGGCACACCAGAAACCAGGGAGGGTACCACTGGTATGCAAGCAGCTGTTATTCCCAGGTATGCTACCTGCATTCAGACCAAGGTCTACAGAGCCCTGCATGGTGGTACAGTCACTCTGGGATACCTGAACCCGAAAAATACGGATTTTTAAGACACCTATATAAGAAATGGTGGTGGTGACTCGTGATTTACATCTACTGTGTTTAAATCGACAGTAGCCATTCAGCCCAGTGCATCCTGAGCCCCTCTGACCCCGGGGGCGGAAGGGGTCTCGCCGCCCGCTGTAGCTGGCAGGGTCCCATGGTGGCAGCGGGGCTGTGGGAGCCGTGCCCCTTGCGTCTCAGCCCCGAGGCTGGAGCAATTCAGGCTCCGGCTCTTTGCCACCGGGCCGCCGTGCTGCCCCCGGCGCCGACGGTGCTGCCGCTGCGTCCCCGGTGGGCCCAAGCGCCGCTCCGGCCCCCAGAGCCCCGCCGGCCGGGACCGGCCCCCTGGTGTGCGGGCCAAAGCTCCACGCGGGGCTGTGCCTTTCAGCGCCGCTCTCCGAGCGCCCCTGGCCCGGCTGTGCCGCCGGGAGCAACCCCCAGCCCCCGCCGGCGCCGCGCCGCCTCCTGCGCTGCAGCTCATCTCTGGTGTCCCTCTGCTTTACACTGGGACGTAGCGGCAGCCCATTTCTCATGGAAATAGTGCTTTGTGTGTAACTGAATTGACACTTGGCCTTGATACCTGTATCTCCTGATAACTGAAACAAATTTCTAAAATAAATATTGTACTTTGATCTTCCAACCCTGCATTTTTAATGACAACTCTGAACATCACTTCATTAAGAATACATTTCAGGAGACTGAAATTCTCTGAGTTTGAACACTAATTATTTGTACAGAAAATTATGACTGCAGCGTTTCATTTTTCAGCCCATTGGTTTCTTCTAGAAATGAGAATTTATTCTCATTTTTAGGTAATGTGCTTTCTTGGATGCATATTTATGGCGTGTGTATTGTGGCAGCTGTATAGAAACTTATCCAGTTTTCCACTAACTCTTTTGTAACTTGACAAATCATTTTGGTCCGTCGAGATATCTGGGGAAATATCGTCCTTTAGAGAATGGAGGGAACCTCGGAGTGTTCAGTGTCTCCTGATCTACCTATCCCCTCGCATTTCGTTTAGAAACATTGTTCTGAGTATTCTTCTAGCAATTACTAGGTAAAACGAATTAACAAAAATCGAGGTAGGGGTTAAATCGGGCATCTCGCAGATCTCTAGGTTTGGCATAAGTTTGGGGATAGGGAGGTTTAGGCACAACGCAAGTGCGAGCGCCGCCGTTTCGCTTATCTGGCGAGTTCTTGCCTCCAGGGACCAGAGGTGCGGGTCGGGCTCCCCACGTGAGGTTCCCCCTCGGCTCCGGCTGCCCTGGCTACAGCTTGGACTCTAGGGGACAACGAGTGCGCTCCTGTCCCGATGCGGTCTAGTGGCGCGGCTGGAGCTCGGCAGTGAGCGGGGGGCACCCGACAGCTGCGGGCGGGGGTGTGCGGGGCAATGCCTGTGTGTGTGCGCGTCCTCCCGGCCGTGTTCCCTTTTGCCGCCATGTCCCGTGTAGACGCGGCTCAGCCCCCGCGGATCGCGCATCGGCGGTACTGGGAGGTGTTCGTGTGTGGTGGATGGAGATGCCGAAACCCCTGAGCCCCGCACCCTTGCAGGCGGATGGGGAGCCCTATCGCCCACAACCTGACGCCCTGGAGGAGGCTGCTGCTGGGCAGCGGAGAACCTTGCCCCGATGCATCAGTGCGTGGTGAAAGCGCTGGATGCGGGACCCTTGTCTTCCTGTTGCCAACCTGGTGAAGCGGTTACCTGGCACATGGGAAGAGCTTGATATGGCTGCTGCGTAATGTTACACGGGGTCAAGCTTTTATTTCTCCGCAGGACTCAATATGGAGCCGTGGGAGAGGACTTGGCACTTTAATCCCTTCAAAGAAACCGATCTAATTCAAGCCCTACAACTCTTGAAAGTCTTTGAGGGGACAGTGATTGTTTCCACAGGAAAGGCAGATAAAGATCTCTATGTGCTGGCGTTTAAAGAGACTTCAGTGGCGGTGTGAATACAATTGAACCCAGCGACTGCGGGGAGGATCGAGTTACCTGTGCAAACAGCTCAGGAGGACCAGAGCCAGCCGGCATTTGCCCGAAAGGGCACCCCTGCCTCCTCAAGACGGAGATGAACGTCCTGATTTGGTACCTGGCCAAACAGGCCGGAGTTTGCGATGGACTCCGAGCAGATGGGGAAGCGGGGAGGAGAGGAGCGGGTTTCCAGGGCCCCCGGCGGAGCGCGGAGCTGAGCGGGCCCGCAGAGAAGCGCAGGGCCCCGCCTGCCCCTTCCTGGGCGGCACATGCGAGGGGTCCCGCCAGCTCTGCAGCCCATCGAGCTCAGCAGCCGATGGTGATGGCAAGCTGTGCCCCAGATGTGCCTGGTGCTGGTTAGAGGGTCAATAGCCGCACACATGGTCGAACGCAAGGCAGGTTAGATCCTTCATACACACATGCGTATAGACATGTATGTATAGACTGAGGCCGAAAGGTGCGGGATGAAGTAACAAAGCGCTCGGGGCCGACTTTGGGCAGGAGATGAGAGAGTGATGGAGACAGAGACCCGGTAACTGCGTTCGTGCTCCCGAGGAGCCGCCCCAACCTGCACTCCCCGCCGGCGCAAGACAGGTCGGCTCGGCAGGCCCGCCAAGAGACACTCCGGTCCTCATTTAAAGAAATAATGTTTTTTACACCCGGCTCCCGCTAGGGAAGAGGAAACTTTTCTGTTTCCCGGCTTCCCGGTTTGTCGGTGTGTCTGTCTGAGAGAGCGCTTGCTGCTAGTGGCAGCCCGCCGCTCCTCGCCGGGCCCGGATGGGCGCCTGGCCTGGCCCTGGGCCAGGCGAGGGCTCCCGGTAACAAGGGGGCAATGCTGGCTGAGCGAAGTGAAACAAATCCAGCTTCCAGAGGAGAAAATGCGCGGTTATTTGCCGAGTCATATCGAGGGCATACCCCTCAGCCTCGGGGGAAGGGCGGGGGGAGGAAGGGAGTGGGGAGGAACCACCGACAATTACTCCAGGGAAGTTTTACGGCTGGGATCGACCAGCCCCGATCAGGTGAACTCGCTGTGCTATGTTACTTTCAGTCATTAAACACTATCAGAGGAATCCGGAGGCAGATACCTCGAGCGATAACAAAGACGAGTTGTCACTTTAGGGCTCTGCCACAAATTTAATTGCAAAAAAAAAAAAAAAAAAGAAAAAGAGGGGGATCCAGTGTCTTGCACATCCAACGCGAGGGTCTCTAGGCGGTAAGGGGTCCTTTGATCAAGAAAATCCAATTATTTGTGTATATACATTTCCCACATAGTGATTACTTCATTAATTGTCCCGCCTTTATCTCCTCCCTTCCCATCCCCCCTAATAATCAGTTCTTTTATCCAGACCAACAAACACACCATAGGAGCTTTGTGGATTCAAAGGATTTGCTTTCGCTTCTGAAAGAGCCGCTATTCTTTGATGATTGGGTAGCGGCAAACTTCAAAGCCATAAATCTTCCCTCTGACTGGTTGGCGGCCCGGCAAAGTCCTTATCAAATTCTTGGAGGTGATCCTGGCGCAGTCAGACAGTCCGCGGAGATCGCGCAGCGCGGGGGGGGTGGGACGCGCACGGAGGCGAAGAGATCAGAAGGAAAGGGAGAGAGAGGGGGAGAGAGAAGGAAACTGGGCAGCTTCTCGTCTTTCCCTCGGCGTCCTCATGCCTCGGCAGTGCCCCAGCGCCTTCCCTTCGCCCCGGGCGCAGTAGCCATGGCCGCGGTGGCTGTCCTCCGGAACGACTCCCTCCAGGCTTTCCTCCAGGTCAGTACTGGCACCCGGTGTTGCTCGAACTTCGCCGAGTTCCGCGGTTGTGACCCGCATTGCACGGGGGCAGCCGGCGTCAGCCGCCTCTCTTCCGGGGCTTTACCCGGCGGGCGGCCCGGAGAGGTAGGTGGGAACCCCCGCGGTGGTAGGAGGCCGGGCTCGGGCTTCTCGGGCTGGTAACTTCCCTCTCCCGCCAGCAGCCCGTTACTAATTCCAGGCAGTGCTCCCTGGGCATGGGGCGTGGGGGGTGCGGGGGCTGCCTCGCAGCCCACAGCGGCTGCTTCCCCGGCTGAGCGGCGGCGGGGCCGGCGGCACTGGCCACAGGCGGGACCGGTCTCTGGGCGGGGCGGGGGGGCCGGGCCCGTCCTGCCCTCTGGGTGCGCATTGTTTTCGGAAAGTTTACCGCCCGTGCGGGGAACGGCGCGGGAAGTTTCTCGCAGGCCGGTGTCGGCGGACGGCGAGTAACGCGCTCTCTTCCCTCCTTCCCTTCTCCCCTCCCTCCGGTTCCTGCGCAGGACCGCACCCCCAGCGCCTCCCCAGACTTGGCCAAGCATTCGCCCCTGGCTCTTCTGGCAGCTACTTGTAGCCGGATCGGGCAGCCGGGCGCAGCGCCCTCGGATTTCCTGCCAGTCTCCTACGACCCGACGCTGGGATCCCCCTCTAGGATCTTCCACCCGTGGAGCGGCGAGATGCCAGCGCACTCCCCGGGAGGGCTGCCGCCGCCGCATCCCAGCTTGGGGTTGACCCCTCAGAAGAATCACCTGCAACCCTCCTTCGGGGGTTCTCACGAACTGCCCCTCACTCCCCCGGCGGACCCCTCCTATCCCTACGAGTTCTCCCCCGTCAAGATGTTGCCCTCCTCCATGGCCGCCCTGCCGTCCAGCTGCCCGCCCGCCTACGTGCCCTACGCCGCCCAGGCAGCCCTGCCGCCCGGGTACTCCAACCTGCTTCCGCCCGCCCAGCCCTGCCGGCAGCTGTCGCCCAACCCGCCGCCCGAGGACATCCCCTGGTGGAGCATCCAGCAGGCCAGCGCCCCGGGAGGCTGCGGCCACCGCTTCCCCGCGGCAGCGGCGCTGCCGCGGAGCCTTGTGCTGGGGCACTCGGACTTCGCTCAGTACCAGACGCAGATCGCCGCCCTGCTGCAGACCAAGTCTCCCCTGGCGGCCACGGCCAGGAGGTGCCGCCGCTGCCGCTGCCCCAACTGCCAGTCGGCCGCGGGCAGCGCCCCTGAGACAGAGCCGGGCAAGAAGAAGCAGCACATCTGCCATATCCCCGGCTGCGGCAAGGTGTACGGCAAGACCTCGCACCTGAAGGCGCACCTGCGCTGGCACACGGGCGAGCGGCCCTTCGTCTGCAACTGGCTCTTCTGCGGGAAGAGCTTCACCCGCTCCGACGAGCTGCAACGGCACCTGCGGACTCACACGGGCGAGAAGCGCTTCGTCTGCCCCGAGTGCGGGAAGCGCTTCATGCGCAGCGACCACCTGGCCAAGCACGTCAAGACCCATCAGAACAAGAAGCTGAAGGCGGTGGCGGACGGCGTCAAGCGGGAGGACAGCCGCGACCTGTGACCGCCGGGACCGCCGGCGGCTGCTGCCTCTGCGGGCCGAGCCGAGCCGCGGCGGGACCTGAGCTGGGGGCGTTTCGTCGCGGGGGGCAGGGCGGCTGCGGCGGCGAGAGGGCGGCCGGCTCTCGGACTCTCGCCGGGTACGGCGAGCAAGACCCCGGCTGGGAGCGGCCTCCGCGGACCCTCAGGCCCGGGACTGGACGCTCATAGGGCCTCGGGGCCGTCCCGGGGCAGGCTCCAGGCCCGGCCTGGAGCGCGGCTGAGGGGAGGCCCCGGGCGCTGGAGCAAGAGCGGGGCCGGCCCGGCCCGGCCGCGGGGGTCGAGGCTTGTGGACGTCTGGGGGTGAGGTGGCAGCGCCAGTGTGGCCGTGCTGGGGCTCGGCCCTCGGTGCTTTCAGGGTAACAGACTGAAGTTTTGTGTACAGGTTATTTAATAGTTACGTTTGAATACACGTGTTCCTCTCCGTCTTCGACCCCACGCGGGGTCCAGCATGAGATGTTTCTGTAAAGCGACCCGCGACCGCAGCGTGAAATAAACACGTTCACACCGGGGTCAGCAGGGACGGTCCCGCCGTGTCGGTCTCGTTCGATCCTTTCCCGGGTGCCCCGCGCGCGGCCGCCGCCTTCCCGCCATTTCCCGCTGGGGCGGCGGGCCGGCTCCGGCTCCATCGCGGCGGCCGAGCGGAGCGCCGCGCACGGTGACCTGAGAGCTGCTCATGGTAAACACCTTTAAAATCCCGGGAGCTGCTTCGGACTGGTGTGCCTGTTGGCTTTGGTCCGTGGGTTGGGGGTTTTAAAACTCTTTTCAGTATTTTGTTTTCTACACATGAAGCTGAGAGAAAAAAGAGAATGCATGGTGCAGTACTGGGAATGAACAGACAGGTCAAGATCTACAGAGTGAGATATATGTTTGTGCAGGAGTGGGCAGTACTCAGTGCTAGTGATGCTCCTTCTCAGAGAAGTCCAGGCCACAGGGCCAGCCCCAAACAGCCACTCCCAGCCTAAGTTTTCTGTGGCACAGCAGAGCCAAAACATGCTTCCCGAATGTTAACTTTCTGTAGAACTGCAGAATTTGGGGGCTGAGATACATGTTACCCTGCCAGTACAACAAAATGGCAGTCACTGTCCTGCAGAGGGGAAGATACTTGGCACAAAACTGTATTTAGAAGTACCTGGTAGATAGTGACAGCCTTTAGGGTTTCTTATCTCTCAGTGGGCATTACGTAAGTATGAGTATAGGCATATTTCTTTTAAAAGAATAACCTTTCTTACTGCAACGAGTTCCCTATTTTCTTTTAAATTGGAATCTATGTAGCCAAACAAACTGAGCAACCTGATCAGTAATTTGCTAAATTTTGCATTCTAACATTGAGAATATGTTATTTGCTCCTCATATTCTTTCAACATCAGCTTTATTTTCTGATTACCTAATGACATAGTGAAATAAAAAGCACCTTCAAAAACTTCACCAGGACTAATCTGGAACTGTTCAGCTTCAGGTGAGATCTTCTGGTGGCAGTTGTAAAGCAATCTTTGGCTCAACTATGTTGGTAGAGATACACTTTGCCATGGACTTTTGAATCAAGAAAACACAGGTCGATAAATGTTTGTAATGAGAGGGCATGTCAAACTAATGTGTTTGCATATATGTCAAACACTGCCAAGAATCTCTTCTCCTGGGGAATAATGAGATGAGACAATACCACGAGAACCCTCATATTTGAAATAATGAGAAGTTAATGGATAGTTACCATGGTACAGCTCCTTAACAATATTTTAGTATTTAATATTCTGAATTTGTTTCCCACACCATATTCCTAGGGTCATCTTACTAAATTAATAACTAAGCAGCTGTCTTCTACTGAAGAATCTTCTATAAGCTGTTGTGCTGTAGAAAACGTTGAGAGGAATATGTTTAGCTTCATTAGTTAGCATTCCTTTCCCAAAGATTTAGGTGTCAAAAGTGTGTATTTGAGTGATATTAAGTAGAAGATATCTTTAGTGTTCCAAATTGAGTGACAGCAAGGCAGGAAATAAATAATGGACCTGATCCAGAAGTCTTTAGTAAAAAAAGTCTTTGAGTCCATAGTGTATCCCGTTTACTACTGATGTAGGATTTAAATATTTCATTGGGAATTACAATGTTTCTGTTTTTAAAAATGCTTCATGGCACACAGTGGCAATCTGGTTCCTTTCTTTGATCCTGAGTTACATTAAGAATGTAGAGTTAGAGAATTTCAGATTGCTTGAAAAGAGATTTTGTCTCACTAAATAGGCTTTCAATTGTGTATGCATCAAAACTACTTAAAATGGAGAGTAGTGGAAAGTGCTTTTGTTAGTAGCAGTGCAGGAGAAACAGCAGTATCCCAGAGTAGGGAAGGTCTCTTACAGGACAGAGTCATTCCCACATGGCAATGGCCTTTCCCTGGTGAGGGAGTGCTGAGATGAAGTATTAGCATGAGCTGAAACAATTCTTAGATGGTTCCTGTTGCAAGTTTAGCCTGACTCAGACCTGGAGACCCGTTCCTCTTAGAGCAGGTGGAACTATAGCAGAAATTGGCCCCATAATGGTAGATGTGGTGATTTCTGAGCTGGACATTATGGAAAGATTTTTCTCCAGTTTGAAGACGTGCTGAATTTGCCAAGCATCTATGTTGTCAGGGCTAGCAAGACTATTTTGGGTTCTTATTCATTGCACAAGACACAGCTTGTACTGAAATATTGGAAGTTTTACCACTCACTTAAGTATAAGCCTCCAAATAATTCAGGTTTTAAGCAAAAAACTGTATCCCAGGCAGTGTCAGGGCCATTTCAAGAGTGGTGGTATCTGATTTACAAAAAAAAAAAAAGTATAATGTTGTAGCCTATGCACCTTGTATATATGTGTAATGACTACATTAAAGTATGAAAGTGCACAGGTTAAAATCCATACAGTCAGAATTAGTTAAGGGTTTTCACTTAAATACATTCCTCTCATGACAGACTTTTAGTATCAAATGCTAATGAACATCTTAATCTCTAAGAATGGCACACACACACAAAAGGCAGAAAATTAGGGACTTAGGACACAGGTGAGTGAAACTAATAGTTATAATAAAAAATATTTAATAAAACTATTTCTTTGTGAAGCTTTTAAATAGTTCATTGGGAAAAGCAAGTATATATGCATCATAGCTGTTTCATACTCATCTGTAAATAGCTAAATCATATGATAGCTTTTCAATTGAAATCATTAAACTTTTTTAGTAATATGGCATTTAAATATACATGTGACCTTTCTGATGTATAGGTAGAGCATTACAAAAATATATTGCTTACATCTCAAGAATTTATTTCTAGTTGCCAAATTGCACTCCATAATAAAATTAACTTTTAATTTTGCATTCACAAAATACATTTTATACTTTTAGCTGTTTCCAATCAACCAGAACAGCTGTTCATTTTATAAAATTAAATTATTAATATTCTTCTTAATTATAAATTTTGAGTACATATGCTGCTCAAGGTCAATTCATTTCCTAATTTTAAAACTTAAATGTCACTGGTATAATAGACATATCATATAAACCAATTCATCTGGTATTTAATTGAAATAAATTAATCTCAACCAAAAAAAAAGTGGGATATAGTTAAAAAACTTGAAATTTGGTCTTTAAGCAGAAAACGTTAAAAAATCCACAACTAATCAACATTGTTCTTCAGATAATATGAGTTTTTTTAATGTGTTGTTAATCAAATTATTTTTAGTCAAAGTCCAAATAGAATAAGATTCACCTGGGAGAAGGTTGCAGGATTGCCCATTTGGTCCCGACTGACCAGACTTTCATTGCATTAACCCAACAAATTTATAAAATTTATGTTTCCTACCTCCTCAACTACTATTATAGAAAAAGTAAGATAAAGGGGTTTTTTTAAGCTATTCTGGGAGATGTACTTCCTAAAACTATCATAGTGTAATTCTTCCTTCCATATTAAATTAAGAGTGTAATTTTTGAAAGAATTATTTAATCTTCAATTATTTGCAGGTTTTGATAGATTGCATTTTAAAGTAACTACAACTTAACTATTTCACTTTGTAAATTCACATATCTAGTATTAGTCCTGAATACTGAAGAAATAGGGAATATAATATGCTGCTGTCTTGGAACTCTCAGACGAGAGATATCTTTTACTGTTCAGTGATTTTCAATGACTCAGGAGACCACTCAAAAGTTCATAAATAGAGCAAATTTGTATCTCTGTGCAAGTAGTTGCACGATTACTGAGGCACTTTTAAATGAGCCTTGTAATATTTCATGGATCTTGTCAGCCTATTCTCATACTGAGCAGTAAGAAACAAAAGTATGAAGTCCAGCTTGTTGTCAGATTTTATAGTTTCCATAGAACCTCGTTTTTCCTTTGTTACAATTTTTGGAATTATTTCACACTTTTAATGAGATTCTTGTGAATCCTGTGGTAAAGATGTGGGGTCTGCCACTCTGGCACATGATAGATTCAGTTCAAAGAACTATTAGATTTTCCTGCCAAACGTGTAAAAAATACTTACCGAAGAGGATCCCTAAATCTTCAAGGCTGCTGAGCTTCTCTTCAAAGAAGTTGCCAAGCAGGTATCTTTAATAACTTTGTATATATATGTTATCCAAGCCACTGAGGACCTGGAAATGTGCAGCACCCAGCAAGGCTCACCCTTGTCAGGTAAGTGTTAATATGCAGCATAGAGAAGAAGGATCCAAGGCCCTAGGCTGATTGAAGGAATTGCCTTGACTAGAGAAAGCAGAAGTATATGTAATTCAAAAGGTCTTTTAAAAAACTTTATGGGTTTTATTCCCTGTTATATTTACTGCAAACTGATTTGAAGTCATGTAGGTGTTTCAGAATGTATAATGAAAATCAAAGAAAACAAACATGTATTTTGACTTTCTGACTGTGACAAGTCAGTAGGAGATTAAGGATAGTGAGATTTGGCTTTTAACCTAGAGGACATCAGTGCTCGTTTTCTTCTCAT